ATGAAACCTGGTAGTGAACAAATACCCTCACGATTTGCTCTGAACAGTGTGTCGCGTGGTATATCTGAATTCATGACGAAGGTAGACACGGTATGCTGAAGTCCATATTCGTGAAGTGCTAGAAGAGCTGCAATGATATTGAAATTCAAAATTAGAAGATGAGGTGTAATTTAAAGAAAACAAAATTCAAAGAAATTCTTAACAGCAGAACTTAAAATTTGTTAAGTTTTTTTTTTTAGTTATTTGTGTACGAAAAAATTGTTAGTTGAGAGCTCTTCTATATTAACGTCACTACTATATCACTCACCTGAACCAGCTATTAAATGTGTGAATCTATGTCTAACAAGTACACTAATAAGGGAGCCAAACAACTTTGTAAGACCCAATGTAAAGAAGGCATTCATATGTACGCCACACTCATGTTCATCTTGTTGGTAATTAATTAACATTATGACCAGGGTACGCATGAGACCCAACACCAGCAACGGTACGACAGTCCATAAAGTTTGCTTAAGATGTGCAACTTTCTTGGGTGGTCGTGAGACAGTGCCCATTGCAAAAACGAATAACCCAATACCAACATCCATTAGGCCAACACAATAGTGACGTGTTTTTCGAAAATGTTTTGGAAACATTTCAAAATCCACAGCGAGTATGCATAGCGCCGTAAGCAGGTTGATAGTTGCACGATCAAGTGTTAATACAAATGGACGGCTGCCACCCAAATTGTACGTCCGATTTTGCTTTTTCTTTGCATAAACCACATATAATGCGGCCAACGAAAAGACGCACAAAAATATCATCACATAGCCAACATAGCTGTTGAGCACATTTACAATTACCACTGTTGGTACGACGATCTACACAAACTCAATAAGAAAACTGCATACAGCATGCGGAGGAACCCTTTTTTCAATCGCTTGCCCAACAATGCGCGCAATTGCTAAGAAATATACAACCGGCGCGATTGTCCACAGAATATGCCACACATGTGCGAAGGTTTCCCACGACTTTCTATCATAAATATCAGCATGCCCAGTATATGATGTCCGATTCAAAATCATATTCAAAAAACGTTGCTTTTCCGGACAAAGGCACTGTGATTCTGGCGTGCCAGTAGCGCAGAACTCACTCCCTATTCCTTCAAGCGGTTCCATATCGAGCGCTGATAATAACTCTTACTAAACTTTGATTAGTATCATAAAAGGGGATATAATAATGCTTTTAGGGTGGGGTTTAGTACCGCTCACAACTATTTCGGGCTATTCCGTCCAAATGGGTGGCCCGATCCAAAAGAATGTTCACACACTTGTAGTCAAGGGTCCACGCAATATTTTAACACTCACTTTTGTAAATTTTGGTCACTAAGTTATTTAAAAATGGGGTTGAAATATGCCCTTTTTTGTAAAATTCGGAAATTAGCGTACATTTATAACTCCTATTCTGCTTAAATTAGCCACTTCACCAGTATATTTTTGTATTCCCTTTCACTCTCCACTTTACTTGATTTGTTATAACTTGCTTTACGACTTTAATATTAACCAATTCATCACAATTCATTAAATAAAAACACCTTCAAAATCACGCGTCTGACTTTGGTTGCATATGCAAATTAAATGGCGGAGTTCAGCTGTCAATCTCCAAAATATACGTCCATAAACCTAGCTGACCCAAGTCGCCAAAAATCAATAAAAATTAGCTAGGAATTAGGTGTCTTTTAGGTGTTAATTAGGGCCTCCAAAATTAATTTAGGTGTTCCTTTGGTTTCCGAGAAATTCGCAAAAATGTGTTTACGTAAACCTAGCTGACCCATCGTTAAATTTAGGTTTTAAATTTTCCAGATATATAGGTTTACGTAAACCTAGCTGACCCATCGTTAAATTTAGGTTTTAAATTTTCCAGATATATGCTGGAATTAGGTGTCTTTTAGGTGTTCTTCAACGCCACTAAAACCAATTTAGTAGCTCCATTGGTTTCCGAGAAATTCGCAAAAATGTGTTTTCGTAAACCCAGCTGACCCATCGTTAAATTTAGGTTTTAAATTTTCCAGATATATGCTGGAATTAGGTGTCTTTTAGGTGTTCTTCAACGCCACTAAAACCAATTTAGTAGCTCCATTGTTTTACGAGAAATTCGCAAAAATGTGTGGGTCAGCTAGGTTTACGTAAACCTAGCTGACCCATCGTTAAATTTAGGTTTTAAATTTTCCAGATATATGCTGGAATTAGGTGTACGTAAACCTAGCTGACCCACACATTTTTTCAAATTTCTCGGAAACCAATGGAGCTACTAAATTGGTTTTAGTGGCGTTGAAGAACACCTAAAAGACACCTAATTCCTGCATATATGTTTTTCGAAAATTTTAAAAAAAAAATTTAAAATTGTTCAGCTAGCTTAAAAGCGCTGAGCTAGCTGACCCACACATTTTTTAAAATTTCTCGGAAACCAATGGAGCTACTAAATTAGTTTCGGTGGCGTTGAAGAACACCTAAAAGACACCTAATTCCTGCATATATGTATTTCGAAAATTTAAAAAAAAAAAATTTAAGATTGTTCAGCTAGCTTAACAGCGCTGAGCTAGCTGAAAAACACATTTTTGCGAATTTCTTGGAAACCAATGGAGCTACTAAATTGGTTTTAGTGGCGTTGAAGAACACCTAAAAGACACCTAATTCTAGCATATATTTGGAAAATTTAAAACCTAAATTTAACGATGGGTCAGCTAGGTTTACGTAAAGCTAGCTGACCCACACATTTTTGCGAATTTCTCGGAAACCAATGGAGCTACTAAATTGGTTTTAGTGGCGTTGAAGAACACCTAAAAGACACCTATTTCCTGCATATATGTATTTCGAAAATTAAAAAAAAAAAAATTTAAGATTGTTCAGCTAGCTTAACAGCGCTGAGCTAGCTGAAAAACAAATTTTTGCGAATTTCTCGGAAACCAATGGAGCTACTAAATTAGTTTTAGTGGCGTTGAAGAACACCTAAAAGACACCTAATTCCAGCATATCTCGGAAAATTTAAAACCTAAATTTAACGTTTACGTCAACCTAGCTGACCCACACATTTTTGCGAATTTCTCGGAAACCAAAGGAACACCTAAATTAATTTTGGAGGCCCTAATTAACACCTAAAAGACACCTAATTCCTAGCTAATTTTTATTGATTTTTGGCGACTTGGGTCAGCTAGGTTTATGGACGTCCAAAATATGCAAAAGAATGAGAGACAAAAGAAGATAGGATATAACCCAGTCAGCATTAAAAATATACAAAGGTGTTCTCTGCAAAAGGTGTTCAGCTCCCCTTCTTTGGCAACACAGAAAGGAGAATTCTACTGCCTGAGGGTTATAATCCCTAAGTACGGCCGAAGGCCGCCTACGCAGAAAGATGTTCTCTGCAAAAGGGGTTTAGCCCCCCTTCTTTGGCAACACAGAAATGAGAATTCTACTGCCTGAGGGTCATAATCCCTAAGTGCGGCCGAAGGTCGCCTACGCAGAAAGGTGTTCTCTGCAAAAGGTGTTCAGCCCCTTTTC